ACTTGTTTTTCCACAATTATAGGGGATGGGAGTCCAAGATCAAGGTTCTGGCAGGTTTGGAGTCTGGTGAGAGCTCTCTGTTTCCAAGATGGTGACTTATTGCTGAGCCCTTTAGAAGGAAGAGATGCTGTGTCTGCAGGTGGAAGAAGATACAAGGGGTTAAAGAGGACCTGGCTAGTTCCTCCTAGTTCTATTCTTGAGGGCTCAATCCTTATGACTTAATTACTTCCTCAAAGCCCCACCTTTTAATACTATCACATTGTATTAAATACTATGAATTTCTACTTATTAATTTTGGAGAATACATTCAGATCATAGTAGCAAGGAGCACAAAGGGTTACAGAAGTCAGCAAGGATTTGAAAGCCTGGAACCAATTCTTTCTCAGAGTCTCCAAAACAATCAACTAACTGACACCTTGATTTTAGGCTCTGGCTTTCGTACCTGTGAGAAAACAAATGTCTGCTGTTTGAGGCCATCTAGATTGTTGTTCTTTGGTGTAGCAGTCCCCATGCGCCATGTCCTCTATTACTTATCACTTTGTTTCTCTGTCTGCTCATCAGGTGGGAAAGGATTTTGTCTGTGTTGTTCACTGCCATGTCACCCAAGGCTGGCATGGTGCTTGGGCAGAGTAGACACCACAAATACTTCCTGGAAAAAGGAAGGAAAGTTTATTCAGCTGGGCCTGGTGTGTGGGACTCTCGGCACTGACTGTAGTCATTTTCTGCTGCATCCTCTGCCTCTCCCATCTACAGTGGGGGGCTGACCCATCGGTGGCAGAGGAATGGCACTTGCATGGCACAGGTGCACCTCACTGAGATGTCTGAACCTGGTATCTTTCTAGGCTGCTGATGGGTCAGTGCCTAGGGATCCTAACAAGTCCCTTCCACCAGAGATGTGCTTCTTTCCTCTGGAATCAGAACTTAGGGAGAGTGAGAATTGTTGTAGGCCATGGTCTAGGTCTTTATCACTTTGGAATTACCAATCATGGTCAGAGAGCCAGCACTCAACACATAGTTGTGGCCTGAATTAATAAATAAGAACAGCTTTCAGTTTCAGAGCGCTCATAAGGTAGCAAGCAATGTTCAAAGAACCTAATGTGCTTCCATGCATACCAACTTCACAACAAGCCTATTTTACAGATTTGCAAAATGAGACTCAAAGATAGTTTTTATAATTCACTCTCAGAACCCTAGGGAACCTGTGGTAGGGCTACAGTCTGGTAGGAGTCCTCCTCTTTCTGATTTGCACAGGACAGTAAGACTTCATTATGAAGACTGACAATGGAGACTCAGAGGGAGTCCTCAGTGGCTGGTCAACTGCATTTGTATTAGATGAAAAAATTATGAACAATTCTGGAACAATTCTCCTTTTTCTTTCCAATGCATTGTATAGGGTTCCCCCTCCCACCGCCTTAGGAAATGTATTCTAAGAATTATACTTTGCTAGTTAACATGTTATTTCATTTGCATTCACTCAGAGAAAGGTGATAGGTGAGGAAGGCAAGCCAAACAGGATTAAATTCCCATGAATCACCAGGTGGATAACGTACCTTGGACGCTCGAGGGGGGAGTGTTGAGATCATGTCTCTTCCTATAGGACTTGTCCTTGGGAAATGAACGTGGTGACAAACACAAAACTTGAATACTTGTATCAGCTCTGTGGCTCATGGAGGACCCCTTCTATGCAGGGGGACAATGCAAAGGCAGGAAAGAGAGCCACGAAAGGAAGCAGTTGACTACCCCTGCAAACCTGAGCTTCCGGCAGTTGCTGCTATCTTTGGGATCTTTGGCTTATAGAAGCCTCACCTAAATCTCTGCCTTCATCTGCACATTGGTATTCTCCCTGGGTGCATGATTTTGAGTAAAAATTCCTCTTTTTTTTTTTTATAAGAATATCAGTCATATTGGATTAGGGATCTACCCTAATCCATTATGATCTCAACTAATTATATCTGTAACAACCTTATTCCCATTTTAGCACATTCTGAGGTACTAGGTGTTAGAACTTCAAAATTATGACTTTTGTGGGCACACGACATAACCCACTACAGTAACTTTGCCACTTTCTCCTTTTTGGCCCATGATGACCTTATGTGGGAACACTTTCGAGTGTCTACTGTTGAGGGCACAGTGCTGTCTTGGGTTGTGGTTACGAGATAGTAGCCTGTGGCTGGGAGACAAGGATGGGCCATGGCTTAGAGCAAAATCTGTGGGCTTTTACAGGGATCTGAGCCCAGAATTTTATTCAATGCCATTTTAATCCAATGCATTCAATGACTCATATGACCTTGGCCTTCCCAGCCTTGTGCTCCAAGCAGCTGACCCCCTGGTGTGTGTGGGTATGTGCTCACATGTGTACATTGAGTGCATGTGTGTGTGCACATAGTGTTGGAGACAGAAATAGCTCTAAGAATGGTCCCTTTATTACCCTCCTGATACAATTATTCTTACCTTTTTGGATCTGGTGTTTCTTAATTTGCATATTTTCACTTTTTTGCTTGGTGAGGGTACTGGGGATTGACCCCAGGGGTACTTTACCACTAAGCCACATCCCCAGCCCTGTTTTTTTTTTTTATTTTAAGGCAGAGTCCCACTAAGTTGCTGAGGGCTGTGCTAAGTTGTTGAGGCTGGCTTTGAACTTGCAACCTTCCTGCTTTAGCCTCCCGAGAGCCACTGGGATTACAGGTGTGCGCCACAACATCCGAGCCTGCATTTCTTCCTCTTGACATGACCGTCCTGTCTTTTGAAAATAAATGCCAATTATTCATCGAAGTCTTCCTTGATGTTTCCAGGCTGTTTCATTAGTACCTTTTTGGATTTTTTCATGCAATGCTACAACTCTACATGCTGTACTTTAATGGTGTGTTTGTCTGAGGTCTAATTTGTGGGTCTTATGCAGAATGAGCATGCAGGACTCCTTACTTTAAACATTATTAATGATTTCAAGATGGCTGCAGAATAACAATAAACCAAGTGGGGCTCTCCTAAAAGCACTGGCTGTGAAGTTGGCCTCTCTGCCCACCTGGCTCATGGGTTATGCGCATCCTTAGTACCAGTAACTCAGCAATGTTGGGTAAACAAATGAATCAGGGGATAGGATTGTGGCTCAGTGGTAGAGTGCTTGCCTAGCTTGTGTGAGGCACTGGGTTCGATTCTCAGCATCACATATAAACAAATAAATAAATAAATAAAGATCCATCAATAACTAATAAAAATATTTAAAAAATTAAAAAATAAATGAATCAATCAATGAACGAATATAAGGGTAAACTTAAAAATTATGAAAGGCAGTCCTCTTTATGCCTGCAACTTTAACGCCTGCAGAACCCCTCACAATCACTGAGGTGAGAGAAAAAAAACGGCTGTGTGCAGTTATTTTTAAGAACAGATAATTTTACTTTGTATTCGTGTAAGTCTTCTCATCTTCAAAACACTTGCAAAACATTAATTAATCCTTACAACAGCATCAGTGAATTGAAACTAGAAGGAGAATTTGAGGCATCCAAAGTTTAATTACCAATATTAAAATTTGGCACACAACTAACACTCCTCCCACTGGTGCAGCCAACACATTCCATACCATCTCCCTCCTGCTGAAGAGCTGAACTCTATGCTACCAGTCAGGAAGGCTGCAAGCTACCGTGAGAAACCCCAAGGGCTGGGGAGAGGGAATTATGCACTTGAGACAGAGTTGCCTTTATTGGCTTCTGAGTTTCCTTAAGAATCTGGGATCTGTAGTCACAGACACAGGGTGGGCTCATTTTTAACAAAGATGTGGAGACTTCTATGAAGTCATAAGACAAGGCTTAGCCAATTATCCTAAACAGAAAGAAAAAATAAATGTGATATATACTTCATATATATATAAAGTAAAGTGAAGAAAAGCTTGGCTTTGTACAAAGACAGCCAGCCTAGTGGGCCCACAATGAAGGCAACATTGAACTTCTAGAACCACCAGCATTTTGAACTTTTGAACTTTTGGACTCTGTAGGCTGGAGGGATGGGACTAGGGCTCGTGCTCTCAGTAGAGGGAGAAGCCTGTCCCACCTAGGGTCTGTACTATTGTTCTCCTACCTCCTGAAAGGAGATGAGCTTAACTTCCCATTTCTTAAGAGTGGACCATATGCACAGTGACTTTCAGAAAGGACAGAATGAAGGAGGCTGTTAAGCGTAACTTTGCAGAGAAGACTGGCAGACACTACCTCAGGCAGGTGATCAAGGTCAACATCACCGTGCAAATGTTATTTTCTTCTTCAGGCATAGATTTCTCCTCTGGAGTACTTTGAGTCTTCAAAAGGTACAATATTTCTCTGACCTTAAAGTTCAGTTTAAAAAACTGCTACTGACAGTGGAAACCAACATTCCCTGACTAGTTTCTCTTTTCTTCTCCCAGTGCAGGGCTACATTGTATAGAATCTGATCCTCCCACCCATTTCCTACCTCTGCTCCTTGGAGTCCTAGGTCACTTGCTTTGGTTCCTGATAATTTTGGGGGTCACCTTGTGGACCATTTAAGACCACTTGCAAGTCCATGAGACGGCAGTGACAGAGCAGAAGCTCTAGGCAGAAGTTCTTGGGAGGAAGGTGATTTGTGTCACACCAAGTCTTGAGACTGCAACACTTTGTGCAGGGGTGGTGGTGAGGGAAGAATTTCTTAAAAAAAAAAAAAAAAAAAAATCCCAACTACTACCCGGACCTGACTTGTGTATTTATAGAAATGAAGGCAGATGTGTGTGACTGGTCTCAGGTTGGACACACACCTTTTATTCTAAAAATGCATTAAAACATACTTTCGAGCTCCTTCATGCCCAAAGAATCAAGCCCAGGTGTCTAGGCCTTTTCTGGGTCATCATGCCTCAGAAGCCAGGGCATGCTGGAAGGACTGAAGGGTGAGGGCTCAGACTTGGGCTTGAGGTCATTTGTGGAAAATATTTTCATAGTGAGTTGTAATGGGCTTCACTTGACATTCTAGGCATCCATCTCAGAGAAAGACAAAACCAATTTAATAAGGTGTGCGTACTTGTCAAATTGTTTATTTGCCATTCACACTAGTTATAATATTGGATTTACAGAGGAAACTGTGGTACAAAGAAAGTAAGGCTCCAATGGCTCCTGGCAGCAGCAGTCCAGCTGCCCTGCACAGGCTGGGCATGACAGGCCCTCCCAGAAGAGGGGCAGCTGCCCATCCTGACTGTACAGTGGACTGTGCACATGGAGTACCTGCTCTCCCGTGCTACTTAGAAACAGCTTGCAGAGGGGCTTCTGGGGTATTCTCTTGTATCTTATCTGGTTGAAAACCTGAGCTTGACAGTTCCCCTTCAGGAAGTGTTCAGAATGTCAATACTAGGGAGAAAGAAGCCCATGCACCAGTTTTCAGGGTGCCTGTGACCTAATTGATGCACAGTCACTAGGTAGGGGCTGAAGTAGAACTACATTCTCCATTGTTTTTCCAATAGATGTATTATACTGTCATTTCAATTTGGAAGTTTATTTTTCCATTAATTTTTATACATCCAGAATAACACAAATAACCAACAGTTCTTTTTGTTTTTGCACATTCATTTCCCCTAGAACAAAAAGTGAACTTAAAAAAAAAATCGGAACCATGCTATTAGCTGTTTACAAAAGTGAATAAGAAGTAGCTTGTTTTTAAGTCTAAAATAAACAAAATAGAAAGAAGCATTTTTCCTAGTATTTAGCAAACATAAGAAAAAGTCCTTAGAAACACACAAAAAAAATTGAAAAAAGTTATTACAGGCATTAACAATATTTTATAAAGAAGCTTAAAATCTATTTACATACATAAATACAATTAACTTTGTTGAACCCTTCTGGAAGGGGGAAAGAAAAAACAAGCCAAATGATCAGCATCATCAATACTGACCTGGCTTAAGGGAGGGAAGAAATTCCCAACAAACCAACCAACCAACCAACAAAAAACCTCAAACAAATGTATACTCTAGGGTAAACCAAAAGGTATTTTGTTCAGATGTTTAAAAAAGAGTTTCTGTCTGAGATTATTGTCAAACCAATCTTTTTTCATGTATAAGAGACCCCAAACATGTCATTCCCTTAAAAAAAAAAAAAAAGAAGAAGAAGAAAAAACAAACAAAAACAAAACAAAAAACCGTCAAAACCAGGACGGAATGTCCCAAGGAAACAGGAATCTGCAATCCTAAATTGCAGGACATTTGAGTGAAACCATTCATTTCCTTTCTAATCAGAGAATTTCTGTTTATCTGCCCAGAAACCTTAGGCAGCAGAAAGGCTCTGTACTCCCTGATTGTAATTTGCCGAGGAAGTTTTCTCTTGCTGCATTTGGACAGCAAGCAGATCCAAAATGGTTGGCAATGTCTCTGTTCTGTTGGAAGAAACCCATGAGCAGGAGAAAGGCTGACTCACCCTGTTCTTTATGCAAAGGGAGAAGAACTGGACCTCCTGTGTTCTGGACATTTGGTATGGGGTGGGTGTGGGCTACTTCCCCAGAGAATGGGAGGATGAAGGAGGAAGAAGGTGGGGCTTGGAGGGGAGAGGAAAAGGGACACATTGAGGGGCAGAGGAAAAGAAATACAATGTCAGATAGTAAGAAAAGCAGAAAGAACTGAAGTCTGTGTCCATATAGGAATCATATGTAAGGACATGAATAAGCAGTACAAACAGTGTGTTCAGTCTTTCTTCTCCTGGACCAATGTTCCCAGATACATACAGTAATTACATGGTTGGCTTAAGGGTCTTGCTAATCTTAATTTACCTGAAGGTAATGAATGCAATTCCTCAGGGGCAAAAATTTGTTTGGATGAGACCTATCTCCAAAAGAACTAATGTGGTGTTTTTGTTTTTTTTCCTGAAATGATTAAATACTATATATGCTGGTAAGGGTCTGTGAAGCTCTGAATGGCCAAATAAATGAGTCTACAACAAAGTGATAAATCCTCTCCATACATGGCTTTGAGAGTAAAGGTTCCATGAGAGATTATCTGGTTCCCCTCTTAGGGTAACAGGCTGGTTTTGAGTTGGAATATCTTCAGGTATCAGAATTAAAGTGAAAAATATAATTTTTTTCCTTCATCTTTCCCCAACATTTTCTTAGGTCATGTATGGAAACATGGGCTAAAAAGAACATTTAAATTCTACTTGGGGGAAATAGGCTAATGGTCCTTTTCAGAAATTAGTTTTTAATTTTTCTAACATTGGTGATAATTAAGCTGCAAAAAAGGTGTGATATGGAATAATTTACTGAAACTTAATTGTGGCGGGAGTATTATCTAAAATGAAAATGAATATTTCTGAGTTTCTCCAAGACCTGCTATAGCTCTTCTAGATAAGAACAACCTGACATCACAAGCTGCTTTACTCTTTAACTCTTACCAAAGTGCTACTGCATCTGTGTAAAACAAATAATCAATATATATATATAACTCAACAAGTTGTTTTAAATAAGTCCAGCTGTTTTGCTGCCTGCAGCCAAAGATCTAATTTGAATGCTTAAATTTATAAAATAAAAATCAAACACTGTTCTGAAGTCCTGCTTTCAAACACTCTTCAGAGTTGACCTGAAATTGTTTCAACTAATTAAGAGGTACATTAAATAACACCAGATCATTTTGAGCACACATGTCAAAACAGCAGTTCGTATTTATGAGTTGTACAACAACTGCATTCTGACCAAGTCCTCCAATAAAAATAGTGCTATAAAATTTACAGTGACATTGTATACATTTGAATTGTAGCCATGGGCAGCAGTGACATGAACTTTCCTGTCATGCTGGTGCACAGATAGAAGTGCACACACCCCATAGGGCAGGGTCTCAGCCTGGTGGAAGCAACACAAAACTTGGTGAGTGAGCAACCAGAGATGGGGGTCCTGCACAGGTGGTATGAGGCTCTCCCACATGATTCCACTGAGGCAGGCAGAGGAAAATTGACTTCTTCAGGCCTGGTTTTGGGCCCACCCTCTGAAAATTTAGCTGGAGACCTGTGGTCCTAAAAGAACCCAGTCCTATCTCTTCTGCTCCCATCTTTGGGGGATAGCCATAGTCCTATTCTGCTTCAATGAATGGGTACTATATTAAAGAGAAATATTTTCTTGTTATCCCAGAATTGAGCAGTTAAGGAAATGATAAATTCAATCATTTATGTGTTTCCAAAGTAATACTGCTCCTTCACACAGCTTAGTTTGGATGTGTTGTTACAAAACATGACTGAAATTCTCAGAAGGCCATGGAGTGAGTATACCCCTAGGCAGAAAAAAAATCCTCTTCATAGGTGGAATCATTAGCACCTATGGGGCCAGATTTAACCTGTTTGAAGAGGGAGCCAGATATGAGACCCTGTATTGAGCCTAGAAGAAAAATCCCATACTTCTGATCCTTGGAGTGACCCTCAGTGTCTAAAATCCTATTTAAAACATTGCTGCATTAGCTACCAACTTGTTTGATTAACATGAAAGGGAGTTTAATGTAAACAATATTTCTAGATAACCAAGCAATCACATTACCCATCCTTTTTTTCCAGCCTTCTTCAATGTAATACATTTAACTTTGGCTACTATAAAAAAAATGTAGTACTTGATATCTTTCTTCTTAATATAAGTACACTTAAATAGTTTAAAAAAAAGTATCAACACATAAGTCAATGTCTGAACATCAAGATACATAAATATCTAGGGATTCCTTGTGGGAATACAGTAGTTAAAAAATGACCCAAAGCTGTAGCTGTCTCTCAAAACAAACAAAATCTACCCAAAAGTCCAAAAGAAAAGTTAAATAAAACTTACAGAAAAGGGAATCATATTTCTTTCAATTGTCAAAGAAAGAAGCAAGCTCAAATTTATATATATGTTTGTAAAAATAAAAACCACCCAAATGCAAATTTGCATTTTGCAATTTATAAGGTGCGGAAAAGAAAAATTAGAAATAAGAATTGAGAGGCCAAACAGGGTGAATTGCGTCCTCCCTGCCCCCCCCCGGGAACCAAGATTCCACACTCTTTGGAATAAACAACTTGGTTAAAAAGTTAAGTCAAGGGTATAAAATCTTTCTTTTATTCACAGCATTGCTAAATCAGAAGCATTCACAGTTTCCCTCCGGGAACTTCCTGTTTGCCTCGCCACGTGCCCACGTGGCAGCGAGCGGACGCTTGGCTCGGAGGCTGCGCAGGCCCGTCACCCTCAGTAGGGCCGCCACACTGCCTCCTCCAGGCGCGCGGCCGGGGCCATGTTGGTGGGCGAGTTGCTGTGGCTGCCCTCGGCCTCCACCACGTCGCTCTGGTTCGGGAGGCTGGGGTTGAGCAGCGCGGAGCCCGTGGAGGCGTTGGTGCAGGGCGGCAGGATGCGCGGTGGCGAGCGCTCGCCGCCCACCATGGAGAACTGGTAGGAGCCGGCCGAGGTGCCGTAGTACAGGTGGTAGGACGGCGAGCTGGCCTGGAACGGGCCGCCTTGCGCCTGCGACGAGCCGGGGTAGGGCGGCGGCAGGTACGTGTGGTAGCGGGTGGCCGAGCCCATGGCCGACATGCCGATGCCGATGCCCGACGTGACAGGCGTCGGGGAGTAGGTGAAGGCGCCTGGGTAGTGCATGCGAGGGTCAGAGATGGAGGGAAGCGCGGGGAACTGGCGCGGGTCACCGAAAGCCGTCAAGTCGGGCGCCGCTGCAGGGGCGGAGGAGAAAAATGCCATGAGTGTGGTGTTGAGGCCACGCCCCTTCCGCCAGACTGCTCCTGCCCAGGAAATGGGCGACCACCCAGAATGCCTTGTCCCAGGAAGTGAGGGGACTACCCAGAATGCTGCGGTCCAGGAAGGTGCGGGTTTTGTCCAGAATGCTAATCACCCAGGGAGGTGGGTATGAAAACTAATAGTGAGACAGACAGTAATATAGGCCACTAGGTAATATGGCATATGTTATAGGGATGATATTGTAAAATAAATATTTGTATTACATAGACACATAGATGTGCTACAGTGTAATATGTACCATTTAGATAAAAGAGTGATTTGATCCTAAGGGGGCAAACTGCAGCCTGTCAGCCAAATGTGACGGGGCCAAAGCTTAAGATTTTTTTTTTTTTAAACATTCTGGGAATTATGAATTCTTCTTCTTATTATTCTTTTTAATGGTAGGGAATAAAAAGTCCAAAGAAGAATAGTATTTTCTGATGTGAAAATTATAAGGAATTAAAAATCCATTGTCCACTCATAAAGTAGAACATAGCCTCACTCTCTCATATATATTGCCTATGGCTGCTTTTGAGCTACCACTTTTGAGCAAAGTTGAGTGATTGTGACAGCAACTGTAGGCCCCATAAATCCTTAAATATTTATTCTCTGGTTCTTTACTAAAAAAAAAAAAAAAAAATCTACTCTCTATATATGTTAATCGATATTAATGCCAATTAATATGTTGATAATATGAATGTTAATGTATCAACATTAATATAACAATATACAATGATATAACACTATATATAATGTAACAGATACACTTGATATATTACTAGTAATTGAATATAACAGTATTAATATATACTGCTACATTATACATAATACTTAGGTTGAATCATAGAAAACTCTGCCATTTTTGAAAGCCTGTTCTGAAATTGCTAAAATTTCTCATTATCCACATAATGCATGCCATAGTAATGACTAAAGAGAATGTTGGTAAATACCATTAGCACTTCTCTCTGGCGACCTCTGTCTTCAGACTGGTTCCAAATTTGTAGAAACAGTACAGCCTTGATTTCACTTGATATTCTCTAATATGTGCTCCAGTAGCTTGTTGAACCAAATCACTGAATGTAGAACCTTGATTTATCTATTCTATTTTTGCACATGTTGAAATTTTACAAGGAATGGCAAATCTTTGTTTATAAAATTCATTTCATAAGATTGTGAATTTTCTGTCTCACAAATTCTTGGGCTGTGGTTGTTCACTGTATCCCTCTGCATTTTTCTAACCCATAGGTTGCCATTGGGAATTTCAAGAGGTTATGAGTACTAGGAAGAGTTTCCTATGTCCTGCAGATCAGAGTTTATCAGAAGTAGCACTATTAATTTTTTCAGTCAGACTATTGGTAGGGGGGGTTGGGGAGCGTCTTGTGCACTATAGGATGTTTGGCAGCATCTGTGGCCTTTTCCTGCTAGATGCCAGGAGTGCCCCCCTCTCCATTTTGACAACCCATTGCAAAAGTTATCTGAGAGCTGGGGTGAGGGTCCCAGTCAACCCTGTCTGAGAACCTTTGCACATACAGGATGGCACCCTGGGGTAGTTTTTATTCCTCAGAATTATTCATTAAATGAGCAGACCAGGACTATAGTCATTACATCAGCAAATCCAAAGACAGCAAGAAAAGAGCAGAAGCAAGAATTAAATGTTCACAATTTTAAGTTATCAAATCAACATATAAAATAACTCTAAGCTCAGATGGCATGCAGCCTGTGTCCTTTTGAGTTCAGACTGATAGAGATCCTTGATGGAGCCAAAAGCTTGCTCTGAAAGGAAAGCTACCGGAGCGGATTAATCTGTTTTTGGAAGGCATCGGCTGTTGATCAACTTCCTCATATTTCAAGTCTATTATTCCAGCAGGGAGAGCTAGTGTTCTCTCTCTCCCTTTCTCTCTCCTCCCATTCTGACCCAGTCCCCCAATAATCTTTTATTGCACTAACACATTTTTAAAAAACGAACTCCTGTGTACATTTAGGGTGAATGTGATGAGGGGATCTACTCCTCATCAGAAAGGTAATTAAAGTTTATAGGAACAGCCAAAGTCTACAGCAAATCCCTCCACTAATGAGGAAACCAGGAGTCTGACTTTCAAACAAACACTCCTGTTAATCTTTTCAAAGCGAGTCAGACATGTGGGCAGGGAAAACGTTGTAAACTGACAGTAGTTCTGGGGCTGCCCTTCCTTGGCCACTCTCTAGCTCATTCTCAAGCCAGGCCACACCTCATTCCACAGGGTTCATCCCTGCCTGCTTGCGGGGCCATCTGTGAGCAAGCCCTGTGTCACTTGTTTTTGCTTACACAGAGAGCTGTGACACATTTGAGAGTTAACAGGAAGCTTGACTCCATTTTTCCAGTTAGATTTATATAGTCTAGGGAGAAGCCGAGGTAGGAGGAAAAGCATTAGGCAAATACAATCAATTTGTTGTCATCTGATGCAATGCTCTGGACACAAATAAATGACTCTGCCCATTATTCCTCTTGCTTCATCTGCCCTGAGACAAAAAGGTGAATCTACTGGAAAAATGAATGAAAGGTCACCCTGTTTCATAGCAGTGTCTGGATATGCTCTGCCAGTCTGTTCCAACTACTACATGGTAATGTGGTGATGGTACCAAGTTACTGGAATCCTGAGTGAGTCCCTGATTTGTCATGGCTGTAAGTACTGGAATGATGTTACAGTCTCAGCTGTTGGGGAAAAATAATTCTTTCACTGTGGGCAGAATATCTGAAAGATCCTGAAACACTGCCTGCGATGATTCTTCTATCTATACAGTAGCAATGTCATTCCCCAAAAGACCATCCATTTGGTCAAATTATCATTTTTACACACATTTTGATAATAAAACAACTTAAGTTCTCTAGATATGTTCAAGTTCAAGTGTTCTGTTCAAATGCTTGTTTTCATTTTTGTGTCTGTTCTAACAGCCCTTATTACGACCCATCAGTCATGAACAAGTCACCTACTGGGTCATAGCTTATCTGTCCTTTTGGCAGGCCTGGTGCCCCCTTATTCAGTAGCAGTATGGGCAGAGATGGTCATAGGGAGCTTTTTAAGAATAGGAAATCTGGAATTAGGAGATTCAGGTATTTTAGTTGGAAATGTTTCCCCATCCATCGGGCTAAATATTTGCCATGACAGATCAAGTCTCTACTCTGCAGCTTGACACGGATGAAAGCAGCCCCACTCCAGGGCCCCTCCCACTGCCCCCAAAGGATTAAACAACCTGAGCAGATAATGGCTGCCTTAAAAGGATCTTTTGCATGACTCAGATTAATGCATGCTGTCTGTCGCCCAGGTTGGCAGCTAAACATTAATTTTTTTTTTTTTTTTAAAAGAAGAAAAGAAAAGTAAACCTCCAGATGACAACTCTTTTCAGACAAGGTGTGGAGTCTGTCTGCAAAGGACAGGGAGAGAGACAGACAGTGTCCATGTCCCCAGTGCAGAAGGAAGCCCAGGTGGGGCTGGGGGCTGGGAGAGGGGCAACACACAGAGCTGTCAGGTGAGATTAAAAGGTAAAGCAGCCACAGAGCAGTGTCAAGTTCTCAAAGCTGTCGGTCTGGGCAGCCACTTTCTTTTATGTACCCCAGCCCCCTCCTGCCCCCAGGTTTATGACAACACTTTTTAGTCTGTGCTCCAGGCTTGATTTCTCAGAGGGAGTTCTGCCAAGTTGAAGAGTGTCTCCCAGGCTGTTCTCTGCCACTGGTGAAGGCTTGCCTGGAATTCTCCAGTCCTCCCTCCAGGACGGCAGAGCATCATTACAGAGTGCTAGAATGGGATGTGGTTTTTATCCATGTCCTAATCCCATGCCACAAAGCATCTGTCCTTACTCCTCGGGTGATGGAATCCATGTTATTTAGAAGCATAGTATGATTATAGATTTGGGAATACACATGGTATATATTCTTTTTTAAAAAGCCACCCTTACTTCTGAACACTGGGCAGCTGGAGGAGCTGACCTTGAGGATTCTTGGACTATAGGTACAGATCTTGGGTGGTAATCAAGTCAGAAGGGACAGACCAGCAGCAAGGATATTTCTAAGGGAAGCAGTGATTGTTTCAGATGTAGACTATAATCAGTGGGCACAGCAGTTCTGTTGAGAAGAACCAGTAAAAGCTGACAGGGGCCTTTGGAATCAAGTTCTGTTCCCAAGAGATAGGTTTTTAGAAAAAAGCTGAACAGACGGCACTCAACTCCTTAGACCAGCAGTGAAAATATTGGCATTAATGGCCCAAAAGAATGTGAAAACAATACCTAGGTTGGCTTTCCTGCTTTACTGTAGCATCAAGGAACATCTGAAGGCAGTGGTTCTCAGATGGGGGCAGTTTTGCTGCCCTGTGGACATTTGGCAATGTTTGGAGACATTTTTGAGTGTCACACTTAGGGGAGGTTCCCTAACATTTCATTCTAGGTGCCACTGGCACCTAGAATCCAAGGGTGCTGCTAAATATTCTACAGCACATAGCACCCAGCACCCCTCCCCTGCCCCAACAAAGAATTATTTGACCCAAATGTCAATAGTGCTGTTATTGAGTAGCTCTGAGGAGACATTTATATGAAGCACTAAGAAGCAGTTAAGGCATCTGGTGAGATTTCAAGTAATCACACTTGTTTGGAAAACAGAAGTTCCCAACATTCAAAATGGCAGACGTGACTCCTTTGCCTGACCCTGTAATCTGCTATAATCTGATCCCAAGAGCTAAAAAGCAAAACCCATCACCCTCCCCTGGTTCCAACACACATGCAAGTGTGTTTGCAGGCCTCATAATGCTTAAGTTCTCTGAAATATTTCCACAGTTTGGTCCAGCTCCAATTTCAAAGCCCCAAATAGTAAGTTTCTTCTTTTGCTTTCAACAAAGGAATTTTTCTCTGTAACTCTGATTTCCCTGCCCACAAGCAAAGGTGAGTGCCAAGCCTAAAGGGCTTGTAAGTTAAATGACTAATATTTAATGAGCTCATATTAACAACAGTTATGCTAACCATGACACCTGAGCTTTTCACTGTGCCCCTCTAACCTTGGTCTGAATAGCTCTTACTCGAGAATACCTCATTTGGGGTACATTTGCTTCCTATCCTGCATGTGCCCCATCGTGTCATTCATGGGACCTATGAAAACTCACCACCACCAGATAGACCAGTTCCATCAGCCCACAGTCCAGTTGGAATAATGAGTTCTGAAAGATGGCCACTTTAGCTTTACAGGTTAACCCTTTAGCTACCATTCTTTCCCGACAAACATGAACAACCCCCAGTGCCCAAGGAATCAAATTCTCCAAGCCACTTCTGTCTCCATATTCATAGTCCCTGTCTTTCAGTATCAAGAAAAATCACTGCATACTTGTCAGGTATGGTGGCACCCATCTGTAATCCCAGCAGCTCAGGAGGCTGAGGCAGGAGGATGGCAAGTTCAAAGCCAGCCTCAGCAACTTAGCAAGTCCCAACACAACTTAGTGAGAACCTTGTCTCAATCAATCAATTGAGGGTGTGGTTCAATCCCTGGTCCAAAAAAAAAAAAAAAGAAAGAATCTATGCATGGGCAAGGGATTTAGAGCAGAGATAGGCAACTCTGTCATTATGTCATGTTTTAGTCAATTAATAATGGTCTGCCAACCCCCTTTATGCCACCTCCTCTAGCCTCCCAAACCTTCCACCACAGCTGTGCTGTAAATATTTTCAGAAGACTTACTTGAGAGTCGACTGGAAAGTTCTGCAGAGAGGCTTGTCATGCCACTGGCACGTCCAGGTGATATAGGCGTTGCTGGGTGTACAGAAGGAGAGGCGATCGACCCCAGGTATTGGTAGGACTGATCGTAGGACCATGGTGGGGACGGCTGGATCTGCCTTGTATCTGTAGGGAATCAGGGAGGCAGGTTAGAGTTGTGTGGGGTGGGATTTAAAAATAAAATTACTTTATAAGAAACGAGCAACCTTTGTTTAAATATATTATAATTCATGCAGTTTGTTCACCAGTGTTCAGTATGCCTACTTGACTCCAAGAATCTGCCCATTATATGCTTTTTCCCTTAGAAGATGCTGAGGTACAGATACTGAAATATATTTGATTTTTGTCAGACAACTCTTCCTTCCAAAGGTTTTATTTAATCACACTAATAATGACAAGGGAGTCGATTATGCTTTTGAGTGTTCTGTTCAAACTGTTGGAGTACTGGACCTACAATACCTGCTGACTTCAGGTATGGGCCACTCGGTGGCCCTTTGAAGCTTCACCAATAATTAGTTACCATTATTGGAAACATTTTACATTAAACTCAGGTGATCACCTGTCTATCAGTATTCAGTAAGCAAAAGGGATGTGGAGTTTGGCAACTTTTTGTACCTTTGACAAAAATATTCCATGGGCTTGTGTTTTCCATGTAGGTGGATGATCTTCCAAGAACGACAGAGAAGATCTGGCTGAGGAACTGGCAGTGGCTCTAATGACCTGTTCACAAACCCAGCAGTGGCATTGGCTCTGTCAACCCAGGCAGCCTGCTGCTTTTCCAGACTTGAAGTTTGCAACATTTGAAGGGCAGATTTTTTTAGTAAGTATTTTATAGATTGCCATTATAATAAGAGACTTGAGACAGAGAAGGGACAATAGTCTGACTTCAAAGGATTTAGACAAAATGGATTTTATCAGTTTCCCTGTAGCACACAGAAGACTCTTAGTTTTCCAAAGCATCACATTGTTTGCAGAAGAAAAGGTGAGGGGGTGGGGCCTCTGTGCTTAGGCAAAATATGCAAGGAAATTTAAGTCAGATGCTGTTCCCTACTACAGGACAGTTTTACATTTCTTTAGGGTTAAACATTTATTTTCTCTTTGTGTCCCATCTTTATTGTGGACAAAAATAACAGAAACTACATGACTCCCAAAGGTCTCTCCATAGTTAAAGCCTCATGACCTTGGGAGTTGCAATCCAGGAAGATCAGGCTTCTTTAGGAAAACACCAGGTTTAAGTTTTGTGAACCCTGTGTTATAATGAAATGAGTTATTCCTGCTCATTATGAAATATGTGGGTCTGCTCCTCCAGAGACTGCATTTCCAGCAAAGTTTATCTCTTTTTATGTTTATCTCTTTGAAGTTGCCACAGTGGACAACAGAATCAGACATTTGGAGACCCAAGTCTTCCTCCCCACTCTTTCCCTGATAGCCTTCCTCCCTCCCGCGTACTGATCCATTTCTCTCTTTTTTCCCCCCTCAAAAACATCTTAAGTTTTAAGTTTCAAAAACCTGGTAGTTTCTGGGCAAATATTTTTTAACTTGGAATCTTTCAAATCTAATAGTAAAGAGAGGTCTTCATTTTCCCCCCAAATTTGAGAGAACTTGAAGAGATGGAAGGAGTAAGAGAGCTGGTCCATATTAAACTCAGTGGAAAATAAATGTTGAACTGCAGTTGAAGCTCCTATTAATCTCATAGCTGGCAGTTTCTGTAGTTGAAGGCAAACAGATATAGTAGACTATTCAATATTTTCATGTTACTTGATGTATTTTGCTCCAAGTGGGAAAAAAAATCACATACTCAGATGTTTTCTATAAGATGCATTATGTTCTAGATACACACATTTACTAAGTGAATATATAGTACTCAAATATTCTAATCACTTAAAAAGCAAACAAAAGAGGTTTTATAATTGTCATAAAGCCCTCTGGGGTGTGAATTGCGGTATCGTAATTCACGCCTTGTTGTGTAGACAGCCTAGTACCCCTAAACCCATGTCTAAAACCACACTAAGCATAAAGCATTATGCCATGATTCATGCTCTGTCATGTTTTACTGTAGTGAAAAAGTTGTGCTAGGCTTTTCTAAACTCATAATTAAACCATGCAAACGTTGCATAATATTTCATAGCCTTTTAAAAATATGCTTTGGTAAAATGATCTTTATGATTAAAGTCCAAGTTCTGTGATTTCTTTTTTTAAACACAGGGTTACAGATTCAATATAATTTTACTTTACACCATAACTTGGCTTTCCAGGTTTCAGAGTAGGGGACAACACACAAAACCTGAAGCCACCCTCCCATCGGCTTCCATTCCTGTGATCACTGTGAATTGTGTGCTTGGGTTCATTGCCAGTGGTGGGCCAGAAGGTGGTGATGGTGAGCCTTTCCTTGCAGTTTTGGGTGTTTTCTTCTTCTACAAGTGTTCTTAATGAAAAAGAACAAAATGGGTGTGACAATAAGGAGCTTCCTGCATATAATTTACCAAAGTTACCATCTTTGCTCTGATGGGGCCCACATGAACAGGCAAGCATAGAAATGGCGGTGTCGTGGGCTGCCTGGAGCACTGGACTGACAGGCAGAAGTGGGCTTTGGGCCTGTCTGTGTGGTGAGCAATTAGGTGATCTTGGATTACTCATTTATGCTTTCTTATTCTTATCTCCCAAAGGATGTGATCTCTAAATCCCTTCTGATAGTAACAGAGCAGGATTCTTAAATACTGGGTATTTCTGGGCTTAACTTGTATGCAACTTGGGCTTGTTTGTTAAACAAAGCCAGGAAGAATCAGGTGGGGAATATGGGTTAAGGAATGGTCCTTGTAATCATAACTGTATATATTTGGGGAAGAGAAAATAGGGAGGGATAAGATGGAAGTTATCTAGAAAAGGCCATATGTTGAGGAAGAGAAGCACCAACAGTCATTCTCCAAAGCACAGGGCTACTTGTTCTTGAAGGGTTTCCTCCAAAAAGTCAATTCATCAAAAATCACACAAGTTCATTAAACATATACTATGTGGCAGGCATATGCTAATTTAGCTGACAATAGTGGTAAAACTAATATAGTTCTTACCCTACCACAACTTATGTCAGTGAAGATCTGAGGACTCTGTGGTGTTTGGAAACTTTTCTGTTGCATTAGTCATCATATTGAGAGTTGCTTCATCCATCCATCCATAGGTTTGGAAAGTTTTTCACTTGCTCATTCATTCATATTTCCACAAACATTTTGCTTTACTAGGGCCACTGTGTTGGAGACTCACTAATGAATGGGTTGTAGTCCTTGCTTCTAGGATTTACGGCCGTTGGGGGAATATAAGGGCTGTATCAAGGCTAACTGCTCTAAGTTAATTATCTAATTTGGACTTGCAAACAGCTATTCCCAAGGTAGAGGTAAGAAGTCCAATGGTATTTGTTAGGTGCTTATGTTCTGCTTGTGAGTGGAAAAGTCAAGGGAAAGTACAGAACTTAACTCTCAGATTCAGTCTGAATTCTGCCTTCACCATAAACCGTATGACTTTAAGCAAGTCATATTTTTTTTCTGCTCCATAGTTTTCTGACTTCAAATGTTGACAGTGAGGAATAAGTAAGATAAGCCATACATAAATCAAGTACCACAGTTTCTGACCATAGTTAATGCTCAATAAGTCTGAGTAATTATTATGATTATATTACTGAAAAGAAAAAGAAGCCTATACCAAGAGACATCTGATGTTTATTGGTAAGGCAACACACACATGCTGCAGGATGAGGCTCAGGTGACATTGCTTTATTCTGTGCTAAGGAGCTGGGCTCAGGAGATGAAATGGTGAAGGAATAAGGAAACTAGAAAGTTTCCATGAAAGTGGAGATGGCAAGAATTCAGTATTTTAAACTCATGTTTTCATTTTTTAAAATGTACTGGATTTGATTTGAAAATTTTAAGTTGAAGTCTTTCTGCACTGAGGTGTTTCAAGAATAGATAATGTTTTGATGCAGATTACATTTTATAATGGGACTGCTTTTATTTATTTTTATACAGTGATATTAAAATGTCTCGAGTCAATAATGACCCTATCAAATAATTAATGTCAAAATGTCCTGCTTCTCCAGTTTGAGCTCCAGATGTGAAGAGTCAGGATTGTCCTTCTTGTCTGTACAACAGAAAAAAGCTGAACAAACTGAATACCCATGACTTCTCTGGGATCTACTAGGGAAGTGGAGTTGCAGGGCAGGCTGCACCTCAAATCTTGAGAGGCAGGAAAATACAGAGAATCCCAGTGAGGGCTGCTTACCAACAGCAGAAGCTGCTGGACATGTAAACTGATGGGGACAATTGTGATAACATTGCCGGAAGCTGAAAACAGGGGAAGAAACTCCTGGGAGCTGTAGTCTTATCTGGGAATGGCATTTTTTGTTTTCCACTCATGAACTCTGCTATGTTCTCATGGAATCAATATAATAGTGGGCTACAGCTTAAGGAGCTTCAAGGCAGAGGCTATTTAAGGAGGAGGTTGTAGGGAAGCCCAATGATGATAAGGGAGACAAAAGCAAGGACAGTGGAGAGATTTGAATCCTTTGGCAGCTATAGCAGCAGTAAACATTAAAAACAGCTCAATTCCTGCCTAAACAAACATCAGAACTCACTCTAAAGGCCTCTTTGCTGAAGTTCCTACTGCCTGATAATTCATGTTCAACTTTCAAAAAAATTTCAAGAGAAAACACAAAAAAAAGTGTGAGAACCAGACTCAGATATGACACAAATTTTAGAATTTCCAGCAGGAAAATCAGCTATAATTAATAAGATGTTAAGGCTCTAATGGAAAAAGAAGATAACATACAAGAACAGATGGGCAGGAGATGGAAATTCTAAGAAAGACTCAAAAAGAGATGTTGGAAATGAAAAACACTAACAGAAACGAGGTACACCTTTTAGGGCTCATCAGTATCAGGGCTTGATTGAGGAAAGAATCAGTCAACTTGAAGATGTGTGATAGAAACTTCCCAGACTAAAAGATAAGGAGAAAAATGGAAGGGAAAATCCAGAACATGGAAGAACTGTGGGATAATGTTAAAAGGCATGACATGTACACCTGGAATGCCAGAAGGAGAAAAAAGAGAAAACACAGTAGGAGAAATATTTTTAAGTATT